TAGTAAAAAATTAGAAATTGACTTTTTACCAGCTTCTCAAAAAAGCACTAATGGAATTAAAGTGTAATTTATCCTTAAATTTAAATACAGAACCACTAAGGTAGCCCCTCTAAAGTAGTGTGCTCATTTCTTTGTTACTAGAGTTCAAAACTCCTTACATTGGGTGTTTGGGAAGCGAGTTTTCATATAACTTTTTTTAGTTGTAGGATATTATTGGAGAAAAAAAAAATTATGTTGGAAAGATAGTTAGATTTTTTTGTGATTAGATGTGATATTTATAAAAAAAAATGAAATGATTATGAGATTAAATGTAATATTTTATTTGAATATATTTTTTTTAATTTTACAAAAAATTTATCCTTTTATAAAAAAAATAAAAAAAACCTAAGTTCAAGATTTCCGAAACACCACCACATTCGAGTGAAAATGGGATGTAAACCCGCTAACGTTCTCCAATTTACTGACTCACATCAGTCATAAAGACATGTATAGAACAGGTCTGGGCATCCAAAAATAATAAAATAAAGAGAAAATTTGGTTGTTGTTGTTGATTGATAATGGGTAAAAATCATATGCAAGAAAAAAATAGTTATAAAAAACAGTTAAAAAATGTAAAAATTGCCTAACAAGTTAAAAAATCACGTGTTTATGTACTCAATTCATAATATATTATAATTTATTTATAATTTTTTTTTGTTATTAAGATCATGTATTCATTTAAACCTCGTTTATTTTCAGAGATAGAATGAAAGGAGATTGATAGTGAGGGAGATTAATAATGAAGGAATTGTTAGTGAAGGAATTGATAATGAGGGGATTAAGTAAAATTGTGTTTATTTTGATGATAGTTGTTAGTGTAGAGATTATTAAATTATTTTTATATAAAATAATAAAACAAATACAAAATACAAAAACATTAAACATTAATGTTTTTAAAAAAAATGCCCAACATTTAAAAAAATTTAAAAAAATAAAAATAAAATAAAAAATTTTCAGAAAAAAATAAAACACATAAAATAATGATTTTTACTTAACGAAAAATACTAAAAATTAAACATTAATATTCAAAAAAAAAATGCCCGACATATAAAAAATAAAATAAAAAATAAATAAAAATAAAAAATTTCTAGTCCGCCGGACTATTTTTCTAATTCCAAATCCTAGAGACCCATCCGAATCCCCTTGGAGAGGCCTATCCTAATCCGAAGCTCACTATCAATCCCCTTTTTATCTCTCAAAACAAACACAATATTAGGGGTCCCACTTCACTACCAATCACAATCCTCCCTCTAACTCTCTAAACAAACGGGACCTTAACTTCTTATTATTAATTAGACATACCGTCAATATAAAATTCCTATAAAACAAAGGATAATTCTCCACTCCCCCTTGATTTGGTTATAAAAAAATGGTTAAAAATCAATTTGATGTAAATTTGAATTAATGGGTAAAGAAGTCTGTAATTTTTTTTCAAATTTTAAATTTATATAAATTGTGATAGGTAATTGCTATTTTTACAAATGAATTTCTAGAGGGAATGGAGAACAACTCCTAATAGAATAACTATACGGATTGGTTTTATACACATCCCAATTTAACAATGGTCTTTATAAATATACTTCAGTGGCCAAAACAATTCACTCAACCTAATTCTTTGTTATTATTCATAAAGTTATGCAGCATATTTGATGCTAATTTGCATCACAGAAAATGTATCAAAATACGTAAGCTCTTGCTAATTTGCATCACAGTGTTTGGTAAAACATGCAAGAATTGAAGTTAGAAGTGTGGACAATTTAGATAAAAAAGTAATACACCCCAAGTATTCGTAATGAATATATACATATATATATATATATATATGAATCTTCATAGTCTTAGAATATTATTATCATGAGCTCGTAAAATTACAAGGGACAAACTCTTCAACCAAGCTTTGCAGGACCTAGACTGTGCCGTCAAGACCAGATCGGATAAATGCTTGAGTTCTCTCCTGAACTTCTTGAGTCTATGCTCTTAGCTCACAGCAGTGAATAATTAATGAAGAATATAATATTGGGAAAATAAAAAAATATGACTGGAAAATTATTTGATACTCTAAAAAAAAACTCCCACAATTCTATCCCACTGTGATATCCAATGATATAGGGTGGATCTCTAATATTACTCTGAAAAATTATGATACACACCCTCTCAAGGGTGACTATAATAAACACTCCCTCGAATGATACATATCATATGAGATATGCATTGTAAAATTCTCCATATTGTCCTCCCGTAAAAATAAAATAAAAAAAATCCATATTACTCCGAGGAAGTTTAAAGTTAAATTAACAAATAAACTGCTTATTTTGATGGTTTTCAAACCAGCCCTCAATATGATAATACTATTCTTATAATTAAAAAATTATATTATTTTATATAAAAATTCTAAATAAATTTTCTATCCATATGTATCATTACACTTATCATATAATAATGTACCCGTAATTTTAATTTTATTTTTCATTTTAAAAATTTTGAGACAAATTTTTAATTTTATTTTCAAATTTGAGGATTAATAGAGAGAGAGAAAGAGTGATGTGACGTTGCATGGGTGGCAAAACCAAGACAAATTAAATAGCATAGATCAATCCAAATCATCTACGCTCTGACCAGGCTTCCCAAATCTGATTGAATTGAAGATATATTGAAACCCCCCCTATGAACTTTTGAACCGGTGCGGTGTCCATCCACTTTTGTACCTTCTCTGCCCCTCAGGACGTTTGAATTAGGTGGCTCAATTTACTACTCCATTTTCCATGTCTTTCTCTTTCTTTTTTTTTTTTCTTTTTTTTGGAAACAAATTACAAGAAGAATTCTAAAATTTCGCATACTTTTTAAATTAAACTCTAATATTTCAATTATATCAATTTAAATCCTAAATTTATTTCATTTTAATTTTAACCATGCATCTAACTCTATTAGTTTATCTAATAGAAATTTTCAAAAACACAGAAAAAAAAAAAGAAATTTTTTTGAAACACACGAGTGGCATAAATCTGAACCACTTATCATTAACACCAATGAGCTTGTTTTTTTTGGCTTTCGAAGGTTAATTATGTAATTTAAAGGGTGCCAGCAAGGATTAATAAGTCCTTATAAAATTTTAATTGCTAACCAATTATCAGACGATTGTGTTGCATTCTTTCAGTCTCAATGAAGAGAACTTTTACTGGTGGCTTTTTAAAAGAAACTTATAAATGATCACAGATACAAAATAGTTCAAAAACTGAATTTCATTGAGTAAATAAAAACTTACAATGAAATAACCCCCCCACCATGACCCCAACTTGCCACTGCCACTCACTGACACCTCAGAATCAGTCGCAAAATCCCACCCCTACCAGCTCATCACAGTACCTCTCATTGCTCCATATTAGCCATTACATATATATACATACAGATCACTATATGAACACCCATTACATTGGATCATTGCTCCATATTAGCCATTACATATATATACGTACAGATCAATATATGAGCACCCATTAGCTCTATATGCATAAGCTTCAGTTTTGTGATCCTCATCAGAACATTTAAGAAAAATTAAATCAAAAATCAAAAGTTCCAATTTTGTGATCCTCATAAGCACGAATATTTTTTTGCAAAATATCAGTAACTTTGAACAAGGGAGGCGAGACTGATGAGATCTTCCATAGGCTAATTCAAGTGTTGTAATCCCATAAGACCATTAGCCTTGAAAGTTTCAAGTTGAAACTATACCCTTTATACGAGTGGATCACCTCCGGTGCTATTCAATACGGCATTCCAGTGACATCGGTGAGTATCCGAGACACGGAATTCGCCATTGATGCTGACCTTTATGCCAGATTCGAATAAAAAAATTGACACCAAAACGTCAAAATAGCAAGCTTCATAGACCCATTTTGAATCTATCAAAATGTTACTAGCCCTTGATGTCTTTGTTAAGGTGACCTTGATTGAGAACAATTTATAAGCTCTTAGATTAGGAACCTAGAGAGAACGAGAAAGGAGCAAGAAGATGGGATGAGGGCTTGCAGCAATGGCGGGGAGGTGGTAGAGGGAAAAAAAGGGGAGGGAGAAGAGAGAAAGTAGCCAGTCTCGTCAAAATCGTTGTAGTTGGCCACCACTAGGAAGAGACGAGCAGCTGCTAGAGAGTCGGGTCAGCGAGAGAAGAGTGTAAATCGGTCATCGGAGTTGGAGTCATTGGTGAGGCGTGCAGGAAGCAGAGGTGGAGGTGAGGAGGAGGCAACAGTAGAGATGTCGAGATGGATGGATGGGTTTTGACATAATAGGTTGAAATTAGGTTGAAATTCATGGTAAGTACATGATGAATGGCTTTGATGTAATAGATGATAAACATTTGGTGGTATTAATTTGATGTGATCATGTTTAAATATAATATTAATATTAAGTGAAACGAACAAATGAAAATGTGTCGTGTGCATTAATTTTTTTTACCTCTATCAAACATGTTAACAGAGATGCATGGATGGTTAAGTTTGATCCGAAATAAAACAAAAAAAGTTCATGATTTAAATTAATACAATTGAAATCCTAAGATTTAATTTGAAAAACAAGCGAAATTCTAGATTTTTTTTTTTTTTTGGTAAATAAATGAGATTACATGACAACTTACGAGATTACAAATAAATGACATTTCAGTACATATTTTAATTTCGCCATATTTGAAATGTCATAATATTAACACGGACAACCTATTATGCAAAGTGTTGAACTGATGGGAAAGAAAAAGAGAATAAAAACCGTTTTCTTTTCCAGTACGTGTAGTCAATTGTAGCACAACAATATAAATCATATACCTATTTTCTTGAACAAAACACTTTCCTATCTTTTCATGTAAAAAGTAAAAACTTATACATCATGAGAAAATTTAAATTGTTTTTGTGCATAAACTTCAATGAAAGAGGATTAAATCAATCAACCGAGCTTTGATTCCAAATCAGTAACTGTAGCCAACCTATCTTCATCTTATATTCTCAAGTGCACCCCATCCATATACATATTCACACTATTTTACTAGATTATAACACTGATGTTCTTTCCTGTATTCACTACACTTGACATGTTCAATAAAATAGCAATGTCATCTTCATAGATCAAAATGACTATGTATAATTTATGCCTACTTTATCCCCCACATTCCAGCATTACCAACAACTCTAGAGTCTGTATCAACACAAATCTTTCTGATTCTTCATCTAATATTATTCCCTATCAGTACCTGGCAATTTTTACATGCAATCAAATTTGAATTATTACCTTCTGATGCCAACAATACATAACACAGTAATGCCTGTTGCTTAATTTTTTATAATCAACTCCAAATTTTAACAGAAGTAAATATTAGCTTACGTGGCTGGCTACACCTTGCATCCCTATCCCAAAAAAAATTAAGAAATTAAAAAGGCTACACCTCGCACAAAAGGAAATGCAGACCATCATAATGCTGTCAAAAACAACTGGCATCTTTACATGCAATAATATCATACTAGTTCCAGAAAGAAAGCAACTAGCATCATTCTTAATCCTTCTACGCACTTCAAAACAATCCACTGTTGCTTAATTTTTTATAATCTACTCCGAATTTTAACAAAAGTAAATATTAGCTTGTATGGCTGGCTACACCTTGCATCCCTATCCCCAAAAAAATTAAAGAAGTTAAAAAGGTTACACCTGGCACAGAAGGAAATGCAGACCGTATTGCTGTCAAAAACAACTGGCATCTTTACATGCAACAACATCAAACTAATTCCAGAAAGAAAGCAACTAGCAGCATTCTTATTCTTATACATAAGCACTTAAAAACAATTCAATTCTCATTACCGAATCCATAATCAAGTTACAGCATTCTCACAATAACTTAAAATAGATAATTAACAAATACAAGTATGATGCAAAGAAAGATGCTTCAATTACACACACAACAGATAATAAGATAGCAGAGCTTAGATAACAATAACACACAGAAGCAAACAAATTTAACGAAGCTTTAGTGCTTTCACCCACATGGGTAGACTTACCTGTGACAGAAGTTACCTGTTTTATGTGCCAAGGAAAACAAAATCCACAGAACCTGCCATTGCAAACAAGACTTATATCGACTTTAGCATGAAATTCTAGCAGGCTGAAATGTATAATGTAAAAGAAACCTACCACCAGATTAGTTTCAAGTTTCTACACTTCCCGACAAATCTTGAGATGAGCCTCCATGATCCCAATAGTAACTAGAGTGGAACACATCAGAATAGTCCATAAGATTATGCTTTTAGGTCAAACTCACTCTTGTGCCTTGAGGAATTTCATTCAGGAAACAGTATCCAAAACTAACCTCTACACCTGATGACAATACACCTGTCATTTAAGAAGTTTGAACCATCGTACCTGCTCTGGTTCTGAGCTCCTCACATCCCATATTGACAGAAATCTATTCTAATAAACAGCAGCTTGAAAATAATTTTTGATGAAACCAGTAACTAGTAAGTGTTTGATTAGCTCTTATCATGAAAGCAGGCCAACAAAACTGGAGGGCATTTAAAATTTGTCATAAATATTTCGGCAATATCATAGAAGCTGAAAAATAAAACACTGCAGAAACACAAGCATTAGATTTTATAGGCAACAACCAGGTTGGTTCCAAGAATGGAAAAAACCATTGCACACATAGCATAAATGAGCAACAGTATCCCGCAAATCTCACAATACAAGTTCAGCTAATACTTGGTATAATAGATAACTAAAGGTACTATATCCCATGTAAATTAAAACAGCCATATAACTCATAGGCACACAGCTGAGAACTGTAAACACACTAAAACCATTGCTCAAAATACAACTGCCAGAGGAAGAAAGCATCATGGGACGAAAGCATTCTGGCTACACAGGTTTTCTAGGGAGCACAAGATATAAAGCTTGGTAAAATTTGGTATCAGGATATGGCAAGTTTTAAGTAGTGAGTAAGATCTTCAGATATTGGTCCTCCTAAACAAAGCATCAAGGTTGGCCATGAGTTTTCCAAACTTTGTTTCATCTGGTCTTCTGGTTTAGGCAGGAGGCTTCATCAAAGAGGCAGTAGGCTAGCTTCAGGCGTCAAGGATCTCAGCTGTTTGGAGTGGAAGGGAAAGGAAACAAAGGGAAACAAGTGAATCAGAATGTTATATGGGATACAGGCTATAGGTTAGGACACCACACTGTCATATATTAATATTCAGTAGCATATATTAGACGGGATTGCCAACCAAGTCAACAAGAAGAAAATTTTGAAGAGAACAAGAATCTACCTGCAGGTCGCCATTAATTTTAGTAACCATAATTTTTCCTCCGGGAAACCGGGTTCTGCCCAGATAACCTAGCAAAAGAAGCTAGAAGTCAGGGACAAAAGGAATTTTAAAACAGCAACAATCAAAGTTAAATTTTAAGTATGACAAACAAAAGAAACATCCAATTCAAGTATGATAGATACTCTGTCCACATATATAGTAACCATGGGGTGTATAAAAGTGACTCTATTGTTTATATATGTTAAATCTATTACATGGCCCATCAAGTTATTGCAACCTTCATCCATGATCGACTTATTGCAACCTTCATCCATGATCGACTTATTGCAACCTTCATCCATGATTTGAGATCGGTAATATTCTATCTTTTTGAAATCAGCTCATATTCAAGCAAAGCTTGGAGAGCTTGAGCTGGAGCTTGACTCACCACTCTCAGCTCCGTTCAGAAACTAGCTCTTCCTTTTTTTCAACAGAAACTGGAATTAAAGAAACAAATTTAACAAATGCAATGTTCTGATTGGCTGGAAGTTCAAATTTTAAATCATGTAAAGAAAGTTGAAGATGATGTGCCTTGTGTAAAAGATGTCCAGTTAAAACAGTTGATTTTATGGTTAGGTCTCGACTTCTCAAAAAAGATGGAAAGGCCATTGAAAGATGAAGACTGATAAATCCACATAGCCTTTGTGATTGTGAGAGGAAGGGCTGTGGATCTAACCACAAAATAATTATGTATTCGACAATTTCCTACAAGATTGGGTAAATGACATTACCATTATGGGTTTTGTGTTCACAAGCCCAACCAAACTGAACTTGGACCACCTCAGACTGGGCTTTTGTGAAACTAGCTTAAAAAATAGTCTCATGATTATTGAGTTGATTTAGTAAATGAAAGAGCTTGAACAAACCAAGCCTGAACAGTTCATTTACAGTCCCATCAAGATTTAAACAAGCGGGATGAAAATAAATTATCTTGACAAATAGCTACAAAAGTAGAAACATGGAACTGGCAAAAGAAAAATTATTACCCAGAGCTACCAGTACGTCCCGAAGAATAGCCATAAGATCCATAACCACTGCCACTCTGCCAAATACCATGAGCATGTGTTAAATTTACAAGAAAGAAGGAAAATAAATCAATTTGCCATGAATGTAACTCAACACCAAAGCACTACAATGATGAATGTGTAGAAAGAGTTCTACAAATGACGCATGACAAATTCTACAAAAATAAATTTTGAACAATCACAAAGAAAATTAGATGTATATTTAAGATAGGTACATGTATATTTACACACGAATAAAAGTTAATAGAGGACTACCTGCAAACCACCATAACTTCCATAACCATCAATAGGGGGCAAATCACTTGTGCCGCCATATCCACCAGAATAAGAATGACCCCGTCCATGCCTTCTACTATCTCTACTATCATACTTCAAACCATCTGAACCATCTGTTGGCATGGGAAGATAAGGAAGAACTGGCACAAGTGCAGATACAGCACCCTCCCTATCAAAAAGATTTGCCCTCAACCGCGAAGTTACTTGTGTGAGAGCATCCTTAGCAACATCAAGTTCTCCAGAAATCTAATAAATATGAAAATGTAAAAATAATTTTTTAAAAAAAATTTGCATGTACAGTTTACATATGATATCAAGATTAAAGAATGTGCGAAGTAATACACTGTTCACAAAATTACATAGCCACATTTCAGCTACTCATTTACCTGCACCATCTCATCATCTTCGGCTGCAACTTTAGGAAGATTTTCCTTTGAAAGAATGCGAATATTAGCTTTAGTGATTCTCCTCATCTCAGAAATTATAGCTCCTCCTTTCCCAATAAGGCAGCCAATCCGAGTGGTTGGCACCAGTAGGCGGATTGTGAATGAAATAAGACCTGAATCTCTTTCAACTTTCTCACTGCACCTAGGTAGCAAGCGCGCTGCTGCTTCAATAGTTGGAGAGAATGTGTCTTCAAAGAACTGAAATGGCAGATGTATGGCATATCATTTTTTATAAAGAGCCAGTACTTAAATGTTCAGAAGCAAAATCTCACAGAACAGTTCATTGCTTACCTCTTTCGCTGAAATAGATATTATGCAATCATCTCCCTCAGTAGTCGAACTATCAACTTTGATCATTGCTCCAGACTCTTGTCTAATTTGATTGATTATGGCACCTCCCTTGCCAATTACACCACCAATATTTGAAGTAGGACAAACCAAACGAAAACAAAATTCCTTTGAAGATGCCTCATCCCTTGAAGATGAGTAAAAAGAGCGTGACCAATCTCCACTGTCACCTTTGTATCCTCCATAAGGACCCACCATTGGAGCTAATCCCATGATTGGGGCACCACCACTTGGACCCATTAGTGAACCACTGGAATGATACACATTGGGAACAGCATAAGCGAGCATTTGCTGGGACCGAGATGGATTATCATGAAGACGAGATGCAATTTGATAAAGAGCCTTCTTCACGACGTGAGATTCACCAGATATCTAAAGCAAACCAAAAATAGGCGCAACTAATAATCCCAAAAAAATATATATATATATATACATATTGAAAACTGCTCAGCTAGCAATACTAAAATTAAAGAACATAACATGAACTTGTACTAAAACCAGATTGAACCCTACAAGTAGTTATATAAATAAATAAATAATTGTATTAAGATATGAATCACAAGTTCCCTTGTAGCATATTACCAGCAATACAGTCAAATAAGTGAAACCATTGTTATGCGCCACAATGGGAGGATTGTTAAAGTCATTAATCTTCAATATGAAATGAATTTAAAAATAAAGTGACTATATGAACATCACATTTTGTAAATAAAGGAATTTTCAAATGCATGCAACTACCACCCAGCATGGGTTCAATATAGCAATTCAAGACCACAGACAACCGAACGGAATACAATCATGCAAGCAAAACAGAAACTCTGTAAAATTTATCCTCTTACCTGCACGAGTTCATCAGAGCTCAAAGCACAAGAAGGTAAATGGTCATTTTTCAAAATGCGAACTGTGGCACCAGTTTCACTACGTATGTTCTGAACTATCAATCCACCTTTCCCAATAATACATCCAATCTGATCAGATGGTACAAGAAGCCGAACAGTAACTTGTGGGGTTCCTTCCGAATCATCATAAGTAGCCAAGTCATCAGCAACAACTCTGTCATGCACCCTGAAGAGTGCATCCTGGGCTGGACAGACACGATTGTCAGTGTCACCAGAAACATTTGTCTCTGCACTTGAGCTGTGGATAGTGATAACACGCTCATCACATCCTGACACTGTCTCACCAATCCTAATTGTTGATTTAGTGTCTACCCTTAATTGCTTAACAATCTCCCCTCCCCTCCCAATAATACTTCCAATCTTATTCCCAGGACACAGGTACCGATATACAGTATCTTCTGATCCGATAGAAAAAACATCTCTGTCATCGCCAAAATTTCTCCTTTTATTTCCCCGATTATCACCATAGTCAGACTGAGAATGAGTACGCTTTCCATAATTATTCCTCTGCCCAGCCATTGGAGTTGAAATCTGTTACACGTTCAATATATTAACCATTGAATACTACAATATGAGAAGCAGAAACATGTGAGGGATCAAGTGATCAACATATCTTCAAAAAAAATATACATTTTCCTATCATATATAGGTTATGTATTTCACATTAAAAAACTGTATAAGCAAGCATATGTGATAAAATAATAAGATAGATTTTTCTTTGGCAAGGATGTGAATGTTCGAGTGAACTTACTCCTTCTATATTTTGCGTACCAAATCAAAATCAAACACAAACTTAGTACAAACAAAAAGCAACTACCATAGCCTCACAAATTCACTAAAGGGCATCCGCTGAACAGTAATAGTAGCGCAATAGACGGTATTAAGGGTAAAATTCTCACAATCCCAAAGGTAATCTTTCTTGAAATGCTTAATTTCCCTAGATCAATGAAAGTGAAGATACACTGTCAAATTAAGAAATCATAATTTGAATTTTTTAAGTCAATCTAGACATAGTAAATTTGCATTCAATGATATAAGAACATTGTCGTACTAGAAAGATGGCACTCAAGGTGGAGCCAAAATTTTGCTATAGCGGATCTTATCGCGAACAATACACAATTTTTTACTATTTCACGAAAGAGATCGAGAGAACAAGAAGAAAATCTCAGCAGAATATCGTAGACAGCCATTGTAAATCCAATTAAAGTTTCCCAAATGTCAAAAACATATTAACATACTTGGCACCAGACCCTCAAAATTTCTTTTCGGAAACAACAATCTTATCCTATTTGACACAGTGATATAAGCTACAACAACTCCATAGCCTTAAAAGTAAAAAGCAACACCAAAAAAATTCAAATATATACGTCTTGGTGAAGCTAAATGAAGATTAATAATAAATTTTCACATGTTTCCCAATAAAATTACCATTGCCACAAAGAACACCACAAGAAAGACAATTTTCGCAGGATCTTTCTCCAAGGAAACAAACAGATCGACCAGATCTAAACAAACAATGCATATATATAACCTAAATTCGAGAGATACTAAGTAAATAAAGTATATATATACACATCAACATTGATATGTGGGAGGATATGAATTATGAGGATGATGAGACTTTGGTGATACCTTGGATTGTTACAGGAAAATCTTCAGAATGGAATCGCCAAGCAACAGAGAGAAGAAAGAGAACAAGTATTGAGGATATAATAATATGTTGTGCGAAGGTCGTAATTTTGATTTTCTAGGGTTTTGACCGGACACGTCGTGCACGGTCATGTTTCCCTCTCTATATTACGCACTATGTGCTGTGCACCCCCACGGCCCCCAGATTTTTATCGAATGGAGGATCGGTCCATAAATTGGGGGAATAATATCAAATGCAAACTTCACCTAAGTGCTATTATTATAATTTGGTAATAAATAGTATTATTTTGTTAAATTACAGAAATAGTGTTTTAATAATTATTTATTATTTTGGCAAATCTTAACTAATTTTGCCTCTAAATTTATAGGTGTTGTTTAGATATAAATTTTTTTGTGATTTTATTTTATTTATTTATTTTGTCTTTTATGACTTTTTTTTAACTGTTTGTAAAAAAAAATTATATATTTATATTATTCATAACTAGACAAATATAAAAAATGAAAAAAAATTGAAAAAATAAATAAATTTTATCTTTTTATTGCCTTCATTTAAAAAAATATATTTATTAATATTTTCCCATTATACTTTATTGAAAAAATTAAATTATACTAAACTATTTTGCTACATTATACATTACAAAAATAATATTACATTCTTTTATAGAAAATACTCAAAAATAAAAACAAATATGAAATTTCATCAGAAAGCAAGGGAAAATAGTAATTTGGGCTACTAACATTTGAGAACCACTTGACAAAAATCTCATTTTTTCGCATTGTGTAATACGCTTTCGTCTGAGGGTTCAAATGAGAAATGAATGAGAAATATCTATAGTCATTATCATATGTTCTTCATTTTTCATCTCATATTCTTGTCTTCTGATTTCAAAGTTATGTTTTTTCATCTCAAGGTCTTTCATCTCCTACAGTGCTTGAATCCTTTTTTATTCTCTTTCATCTTTTTTCTTTTCCTTCTCAGCAAGGTATTGGTTAAATGTGTCCAATTGTGTGCTCATTTTTTGAACTTCAACTTGAAGGACTTGATTTTTCTAAAATAATTCTTTTGCAGCTTTCCTACCCATAGGCCTTTTACCTTTTGCAGAGACACTGCCCTCACAAACAGTTGGATTGTTACCAACACTTAGGACTGGTGTTATCTTCAAGAGAAATGCAGTTATCCATAGGGGAATCGAGGGTTTAATTAGGAAAAAACGGTCTATGTATTATTGACTTCACTGTGTTCATAGGAGTTACATCTTACCACCTGATATTGCATTGCAAAATTGGCCAACAATGTTCAAAAACAAAATGTTTGTGTTTCATCTTGATGGTATAACAATTTTGCTTGAAGCATTTATATCAATAAAATATTAAATTAATTAATTAGTTAATTTTTATGTAAGACAAAATAAAAAGACTAACATAATAAATAAAAATGAAATCTTACTATATCAACTTGTGCCGCCCCACTTGGATGTAGATTTTCGACTTGTGCTAGACACCCACAAAATTTGTTGCAACATTTCATGATTACACCCCATTGAGATGAGATAGTCACTTGTGTTCTTGAGTGATCATTCTGCAGCGAGCAGTAATTTTCAAAAATTATTCCCCAAAAATGAGTATGCGATTGCAAACTTCTAACAATTAGGTCTTCAGTAATGTGACACCAAGCTCTACAAATTATCACATCTTCTTCAGTAGTAAATGATTTTCCTTTCTTTGTTTTTGATGAACCTTCCATAGTGATTGTGTGAAAAAACTAAAAATAATATAATTTCAGAAGTTTATTATAAAATCAAATTGAGATGAAAAGAGAAGAAAAAAAATGAAATGTGCAATGGTTACTGTGAAAAAAAATTCAGATAAAGAGTTTCTATTTATAAAAATTCAAACAGAGCCCAACGGCTTTATCAAATGCCAAACAGAGCCCAACAGCTCTATTTATAAAAAATTAAGTTTATAATCAAATTGAGTTTTTTTTTTTTAAAGCCAAACAGAGCCTAACGGCTTTATCAAATGCCATCCCCATCGTCCACGTGTTGGTCTTGAATGGTTGAGATGATTTGTGTAAAATCATCAACATTTTCTTCCTCTCCCTCTCACTATCTCTCTCATTTCTCCTCCATGTCCCTCTCACTCTCAAATTCGTGTCTCAGTTCTCTCTCTCTCTCTTCGATCGGTGATGAAGAACATTGAATCTTCTCACTCTCTTCTCTCACTCTCACTCTCACTCTATTCTCTCTCTCTTCGATCGGTGATGAAGAACATTGAATCTTCTCGCTCTCTTCTCTAACTCTCAGATTCGTCTCTCTCTCCCTCTCAGTATCTTCTTTCTCTCTTTGATTGGTGATGAAGAACCTTGAATATTCTCTCTCTCTTTTCTCACTCTGTCACTCGCTCTTAGATTCGTCTCTCACTCTCACGCTCACTTTCTTCTCTCTCACTCTGTCTCTCTCTCCCTCTCATTCTCACTCTGTCTCCATATGTCTCCCCTCTCTTCGATCGGCTATCCAGATCTACCTCTTTCTCATTGCCACTCTATCTCTCATCTCTCTATCTTCAATCGACGACGGTATATGCTCAAAAAGACAATCAGCCACCGGCGACGATATATGCACAAAAAGATGCTCAAAACCAGGTATTTCTCATTTTCAGTTAATCTGTTTAAATTTTTTTTGTGAATCTGTTTTGTGAATCTGAATGTGCTGATTTCAGGTAGAATGGTGAATTACGAATCTGTTTGAATTTGTTTTTTTGTTTTTTTTTCCTTGCGAATCTGAATTATGAATCTGTTTTTTTTTTCCTATGCGAATCTGTTTGAATTTGATGAATCATTTGATGAATCTGTAATTTTTGAATCTATAATTTTTCTGTGAATTTGTTTTTTTACCATTTGATTTCGGGTAAAACGTTGCATTTTTCATGAAATTTTTTGGTGAATTCTGAAACACAAAAATGGTGAAACAGTTGTTGGGGGAGGGAGGGACAGAATAAAGGAAAGAGAGAGGGAAACAGTTGGTTTTGACTGAGTTGGCGTAAATGGTAGCTGCCAAAGCTTGTGTTTGCCATTTCTCAAATTTGGCAGCTGCTATGTTTTGCCATTGGAGCATCAAAATTCAACACAGTTGTTATATTATAGAAATGACAGCTCCAATGGCAAACCATTGGAGATGTCCTTAGGACATATTTGGCATGGGCTATTTTGGTTGTTTTAATCAAAAAATAAATAAATAATAAGATATGTATTTGACATGTATTAAAAAAGTGTTTTTTTTTTTTTTACATATATACACTTATTTGGATCACATCAATTAACATTTTCTCTTTTCTTTTCTATACATTTTTTATAAAAATTCAAAAAATACACTTATTTATAATATCCAAAACCACTTCAAAATAAAGTAAAAAAGTTAATAAGATAAAATATCACATATATTTTGGTTGTTTTAATCACAAAAATAAAATAAAATAGGTGCTTGGCTGTCACGACCCAAACCCGCCCCTATGGGTTTAGCATCGTAACAGGCCAGTAATCCGAGATTACCGAAGGCCTGCTTAACAGTAATACAGAGTACAGGGGCTGGCGGAAGCCAAAACAGTAATTAAAAGATGTCTAATGAGCCGTGACAGTTTATATGCAAAAAGACTTTTCATATCATATTCACATTCAGAACAAAAACAGTATATACATACATCATTTATAGGCATTCAGGTAGGGACCAAATCCCCACCATAACAGTACAGTACAAATATCATTCAGTTTATACATAACAGAGACAGATATGGTGAATCTGAGACACCCCAAAAGCAGCCTTAGCTTGAACAGATCTGGAACCTCGAAGTGAGGCACAAAGGTTGGTTTGACAAAACAAGGGCTTAGCCTGACACTTCTAGCAACGGTCCGGTGCCTAAACACCTACATATATATATGAGCAGTGAGCTAAAGCCTAGTGAATAACATATGCGTAAAAAGGTTAAGAATGAATGTCCTTTCAGTATTGAAAACAGTTATTTATCAGTATATCAGTCATTCAGTTTGTGACTCATAATTTATGCCATAAAAGTCATTCAGAAACTATAATAGTCATATGTGGTATATCTAATAGCAAAATAATACAGTTGGTCTTAACAGACCGAACAGTTAGTTGATGGCCATCATATCAGTAAACAGTAGTGGTTCCAAACATGGGAACCGACAGAGATCTCTGTGACAGTAGCAGTACAGTACAGTAACAGTAAATTGCTATAGATGCCACGAATACAGTTCACAGATATGACAAACATTCATTCAGTAAGAAATATCATTTCAGAAAGCGGTACAGTTACTCATTCAGAAAATATTCATGATTGAACATATCTTTACAGCATTGTTACTCACAGAGCACTGGGCTATAAGCGGCTAGAGCGTCCTCGGATGCCAACCCTACAATTACAGAATGAACACACACTAAGCTACACAGTTGGGAAATAATAAACTTAATCCACTAATTTGCCTCGGTGTGGTTGTCTACATCAAATCCTCATTAAGATGCCTTAACTAGGCCAAAATACCGTAGATGAATGAAGATGCAAAGATGCACTTAAAAACACTTTTCAAAATTTGCTGAAACAGGGGTCCGACGCTCCAGCATGGCTTTCTCCGCTCAAGCGACATGAGAACAAAAGAACTCCACTCGAGCATAGGTTTCCCCCGCCTTCGCAGCGGACTATATTAAAGCTCATGCAAAAGTACTGGAGAGCGCATTTGCAATTTCCACGCTCGGACGGCGACGCTCGATCCCCGTTCGCAGCGTGAGACACAAGTCTCCTCGATGCGTGCATCCCTCGCTCGAACGATCTGTAAACATGGCCAAAGACTTGGATACACGCATTGTCCTGCTCGAGAGCTCTCCTTTTCCCCTTGCTCCGACGTACGTCATGAACCAGTGTAGTTACGCTCGAGCGTGGATTCGCGCCGCCGCTCGAGCCGTAAGTCCAAATCTGGAATTTCCAGATTGAACCTCAAGCTCAAAACCAACTTCAAAGCATCAAATTCAAATGCTTTTGCGGGCTAATTTTATGGAAAACACTTGCTTAAAACTCATGAATTTATGGACATGTTTCAAAGATCAATTGAGAAATCAAACGCCCACAGATAGTTCATTAAACACAATCAAGAAGTTTTTCATGAACATGCAAGACACA